TTTATTGCGAAAATATCATTATTATGCCTAATTAAAACTAAACAAATTATATTAATATTTATTTACAAAATAAACTAATTAAATTTAATAAATAAAAAATATTATATTTTGTGTTTTTCTGAATTTTTTATAAAAAAGGGGTTAATTTGTTAATTGGTTAATTAAAATAATAATAATAAAAACAATTAAATGAAAGAAAAAATAAATAAAAAAAGAAGAGAGGAAAAGAAATAAACTCATAGGGGGTGCTGGGCCCAATTTTGTGGTGTATTTTGCAATTTCCCAGGCCCATTGTGCTTCAGCCTCGTTGACCTTTCCAATCCAGTATGCGCCTTTGACCAGAGAGTATGGTGGTCCTTCAACTTTGGCCACTGGATCTTGGCCTGAAGCCACTTGGCGTGTGGATCTCTGAGGTGTATGGTGGATCACGCGTGGGGTGCTGCACATGAATACATGAAGAAAAATTGAATAAACGTTTTGGGGGACCTGGGATTCGAACCCCGGTCCCAATACTCATTGGCCAGCGTCCCAACCACTCAACCACCTGCATCTTTTTGTTATTATAATATACAGCAATTAACATATATCAAACAAACGCTTATGCCTGGAAAAAATAAAACGCGCGCTGATTCAAACCCACGAACCAGATGACAACACATCATCATCTTCAACCTTGGTTTTGCATAATTAGAATCAGATAGCGGGGGTTTTTAACCTCCACTACCACCCTGTACGAAAAATAGCGAATAGACACAGAGCAAACATAAATATTTCGCGAGGTATGTGTTGGGATCGTCTTGGCCTCACGATTTCAACCATGTATCCCATTGGTTCCAATTTTTCCTGGTTTAGAAAGCCCTATTTGAAAGCTTGAAAACCCTAGAAATTCAATCATGGCATCTCTCGATTCAGGGCACTATGGTTCAATTCAATCATTCCATTAGCTTTGTATGATCTCTAGCAATGCAAATCAATCACAAAGACATGTCAAATGCGTATGAATTAAGAGATACAGTTTTGAATTATAAGTGCAAACCGCGGGACTGTATGCCATGGTTCCTTGAGCTTTGGTGCCTGAATTTGATTGCAAATCACTCCTGGAACTTCCTGCAATGTGTTTGGATGGATAAAGCGCCTTGAATTGGCCTAGATTGCAAGAACCAGTTTTGAGTTTTCTTGGAATTTCTTGAAATTTGTATGGCCGTTTCTGCAGTCTTTCAGTCGTGTTCTAGGTTATGCCTGGCTTTCTTGCATATAAGGGAATCAATTTAGGTCAAAATTTGGACCCATGCCCATGTGCATTGAAGATTAAATCTTTGATTGATAAATCAAATATTCTTGATTTTTCATGATTGAACAAGTTGTCGAAATTGGATATTTTTGTATCTTTTAGCTTGTGTACGAATTGGTCAGCATATTTGGATCATATTTGGTTCACAAAAATGTTTAAGAATCAAATCTTTTATTTTCTTATAATTTAAATTAATTAAATGAATTAATATGTATTAAAAATCCATTTAATCAATAAATTTAAGAAAACAAATCCAATTTAACTTGGTGGGTCGTGCATAGGTCATGGATGAAGTTGCAAAAAGAGATTTGAGGCCCATTAGCAAAAAGAAGGTGTTTTGAGCAAAGTTGACTTTTGCAAATTCATGAAAATTGCCCAACTTCTCCAATTCATAACTTGCTCAATTTTGACCCTATGACCATGTTCGTGGACATTTTGGAAAGACCTTGAAGTCCTCTAACCAATTCTTTTGGTCCCATGTCAGTTGGATTTACCAATCTCAAGTTATGGCCTTTGACTCAAAGTGTACTTTTGTTGACTTTTGAAATTGACCTATAATGTAAAAATTTGTAACTTCTTGTGAGAGCATTTCTTGATCTTGGAGTGTGAAGATGGATTATAAGAAATTGAATCCTCTTCAAAATGAGCTTTGAATGGAATTTTTCTGATAAAACATGAAAGAGTTATGCCCTTGTCAAAGTACAGTTGACTTTTCTACTGTCCAAAAATAGTAACTTTTACATCTTGATGATTTTTGAGCTATTCTTGTGGGATCATGATCAAGACTTGATAAAATGATGATTGTGAACTCAAAATGAGATGTTGACCAAGAATTCTGACTTTTGACTGCAAAATGACCATTTTGCCCTTGTAGTTGACTGTAGATCAAATGGAGCTTTTGACTGTGCAAACTGGCATTGTGAGTCTTGAAACTTGGCATGTAGGTGCTTGAGAATATATATAGGCCTATGAGACTTGATTGAACCATTGAAAACCCCAAATTCCTTGAAAGAACCAAAACCCTAATTTTGAATTGACTGCCTTAGGAGGTGATTTGACTGTACAACCCTTGAGCAATCTTGAGCAATTTGGAGATGATTCTTGACATATCTTAAGGAATATGGGAGGGCAAATTTTGGGGTACAACACTACCGAATGAAACAGCCACCCCAGTGTTAGAGAAGCGCGCGCTAAGGCATTGATCTATAGGGACCTGGGTTCGAGCCCCAGTGGTACGCTTTTGTATTTTTTTTTCACATACTTTTTGCAGATTCAGCGTGTCTGGTTCTCTTGAGTCCATCATGTTACCTCATCTCATCACCATTAGATCTAATTCAAAGAGGATCCAATGCACTAAGATGCATGACCATGATGCACCTCAGAAGGCCATCCACACACGATCCATACAGGTGTTGGGCTTCCCAGAACTTGGGCCTCATTCTTTTTTTGTTTTTTCTTTCTTATACCCCCCTTTTACTTAATAATAGCACATGCCTAATATTTTTTTAATTACAAACATTTTCTTTTTTTTTCTGATTTCAAAAAGGGCATATGTTGGGCTTGCCTAAAACTGCTTTTTCACACCTATTTTACTTTTTAACACCCAAGCCTAATTTTTTATATTATTTATATTTTATTTATCTTTTTATTTATTTTATTTAATAAAAAATGCAAAAATATATTTTTTAAATATAATTAGATTTATTTATTTTATTTTTCTTCATCTTTTCCAAACAAATAAAACTTCAAAAATATTTTCTAACAATTAATTTCCCTTCTAAAATTAACTTAGATTTAGGCTTTTCTATATTCAAATTATTTTTCCTCTTAGTTAGTACAATTAATTTTGATCTTAGTTTAATTAGGTTTACTATTTTTCTTTTAAAATATTGATTAATTTAATTAAGTATATTTAAACCTTTCCATTAAAAAACCCCAAAAAACAATTTATTTTTCTCTACTTTACATTTTGTGCATTTGATTATTATTCAGGTTCAACGATTTGTAATAGATAATTAGGTTTATTGCTTTCCTTTCCATCTCACAAAATTGTACCCCCATTCCCAAAGCGTTGTAATAGCGTAAGACATTTAAAATTCCACAATTTATCATTTTCCTTATTATTGCTAGTAATTAGGATTTGCATGACAAGACTTAAAATCAAACCTAGAAAAATGGTAATTCAAAGATAAAATACTCGAAAACAAACACACCTTGCACACATGCATCTCTAGGGTAACCCACACTTGTTGCCTCGGATAAAAACAGTCATGTCCCTCGAACGTGGGATGTTTTAGCAAAGACCTCAGATTAAAAGATTGTAGTCCCTTGATGACCCTTCGATGTTGCCTTCAATAACCGATCTTAGTCCCTTACGACAATTGCTAAAATATCTTACAAGTTTCCTTTTATGACTGTATGATGACCCACGCCTGTCCCTCACATCCAATGATATGGCTCCTTATCAACCAATGGTAAAATAAGCATTATTTAAAGGAGGAAGAAAAGAACAAAGACTTTTTGAGTAAGTAGATTGCTCGTAATTGTTTTCTCACAAACTGAAACCATTTCCACACCTCACAGTCTCAAAAAACAAACATCTTTTCAAACACTCTCATTTCAACAAATATTTTCAACCAAACATTTTGTATACGTCCTCAACGATACGAGAATCATTGTAAAATTTCCGTACTAAGGAGTTTTCAAAATATTTCCAAAACAAACATTTTGTATACATTTTCAATGATACGAGAATCATTACAAAATCACCACTTTCAAACCATTTTCAAACATACACAAACGCAAAGCATTTCAAAGTGAGCTAGAAATTAAGATCTCGTAGATAAATACAGATGAAAAGGGTGCTAACACCTTCCCTTTTCATAACCTACCCCCATCAACTCAAGAAAATTCTAAAAAGGTTTTTCCTGTTCTTTTCACCCTTTCCTTTATTGGATAAAAGAAAAGTCGGTGGTGACTCTTGCTATCTGCAACATTTGCGATCAAACACAAAACACCAAGTCAGTTCTCCCACCATATTACACACAATGAACAAACATGTCAAAAATAACCAGTCGTCATTTAGGGATCAGAGCCTACCATTAAGCCACTCGTCATGCCAATGAAATTGAATCAATGATACGGAATCGACAAGAACGCGTTAAAATCCTAATTCTAATCATGTACCAAACATTAATTCAATTAATTCCTAAGCTAATAAAAATAATCCCGAAAAAAGTGACAAAGTCAGGAATCAACATACTAATATCCACATCAAGTTTCAGCATAAAATTATGAATAAATCATCAATAATTAATTGAAAAAATTAAGAAATTAAAGTGAAAATTACAAAGAAACAAGGTGGTGTAAGGATCAAATCCATAGGTGTAACTAGAGGGTCCAGGAACTAGGCTCATCCATATTAAGTCTAAGAGGAGTTTTTTTGTGTGTGCAAGGTTTCCTAATGTAAAAAATGCAGATAAATGGGCCTAGCCAAGATGAATACCAGTCTAAGGAATAACAAACCCAATCCATCGCTATTGTATTCATATTTTTTATATTTTCAGCATTTCTAAAAAACAAAAAAAAAAAAGTAAATAAAGGGATAAACGTTAAACAATACCATTTTTTCAGTGTTAAAAGGGTTTATAAGTAAACGACCTTTCTTCTTCTTCGAGAAATGTGATTCATCCTTTTCTTCATTCTCCAAATGGCGCATCGATCTTCTTGCTCCGTCTTTAATTCACGACGATGTCGTTCTCTTCGTCTTCTTTGCATGATCTCTATTATGGCTATCATTATTTCTTCATCTCCGATCAATTTCCATCGTGGCTATTTTCATCTTCGTTTCATCTCTGATCGATTTCCGCTCAACCTTCACGAATTATTAAGGACGAAGCCGCCATCTTCATCTTTGTTCAACCTCAAGCTTCATATGACTCATCTTTTCCGATGCAACTAGATGCAGCCTCATTACACTGATGCACAACCGAATGGAGTAGATTCGGTGGCTCTTCAGAGCGTTGAAGAATTCATGAAAACCAGAGGTAATGTGATGCTTTAGCTTCCGCGTTTGAGAATCTTCTTCCGATATTCTTTTTCGGCTGTCTCTCTATGGGTTCTGGTTTTGTGTTGTTGCAATTTGATGTCAAAGTTTTTGTTTTTCAAAGGTGATGATGATGTCAAGGTGCTGAGGATGAAGGTTGGAGGAGGAGCAATTGGTGATGAAGATTGTTGTAGTTGTGGTTATGAATTCGTAAGGAGAAATCAGAGAGATGAGAGTGAATTTTGTTGAAGGTTGATATGCGACGAGGAAGATGATGATGGTTGAAGAGAACCTTGAAAATTGAAGATAAAGATGCTTGAAGAATTGTGTTCTTGAGAGTTTCATAGGAATTTTTCAGAGAATAATTTAGAGGTTCGTTTTTCCCCATGAGTTTTTGTTTTCTGGATAATGAATCCTCCCTTGATTCTGTGAACAAATTATGTTATGTATCTCCCCAAAAGTTTGTTACAGTTGAGTTGATCTGAGCTGTTGGATTAGGAGAGTTAGTTATAATCTATTAGATGAGCTGGCATTGTTAGTTATATTCTGTTAGATTCAATTACAGTTAGGAGGTTTAAAATGGACTGGTTTTTGTGGATGCAGTTAACTAGTTTTAGAGATGAGGGTTAATTATTTTGAATTTTCTGAACCAGTTTTTATTGCTTTGTTATTTGGATGCTTGAGTCTTATTGTTTTCCCTTCTGATTTTCTGTTTGTAAACTGAGGCATGGGCTTGTGTGAGCTGGTTTTGATATGTATGCTTTATGTAGGATGCAAGTTACATCACAGCTTAATGGTTGGTGAACTTATTTTCGAAGTTCAGTTTGGATAGAGATATGGACTCGGTTTTCCTTTGACTGATTTTTATTGATGCAGGATATTAGTTATGCAGGTTCACGGTTTCTAATGGTGAGGTGCTTGGATTTGGTTGTAAGGAACAAAGTGAGAAAAAGGTTTGAAAAATATAGAATCTTGTCATGGGAAGCAAGCATGAAGATGTATAAGCACTAAGACTTAGTCTTAGAACAAAAGTTTGTGTAATGATTTTCTTTGATATAAAAAGCAATGTGAAAATTGAATTTTGTAATGGTTTATTTTGGTAATGTAAATGGTGATGATATTTGGGCTTATAATAGATGGAAATGTGACCTTGAACTACACTCAGAATGATGTAATGGTTTAAAGATTCAATGATAATTTCCAAGTGTTCAAAATATTCTTCTCTTCCGAATTGAACTAGAAGTTTCAAACTCTTTTGATTAATGCCTTTTGAATGTTGACTTGCAATGGATGTAGTACTTTCCATCCCTTTGTGAAATTAATTGATGAAAACTCTCATTTTTCAAATATTGTCGCTTTCTCCAAATTCAAATTTGAACTCTTCAATATTCAAAATCTTAAAATTTTCTCATAATCCAACTTCCAATTCTTCTCTTGAATTCAAATTCATCCAACAGTAACAACTCGTGTCATAAGTAACCCGTGTGCTCAGATGGATTATTTTGAATCACAAGGTATACCGATTAGCCAGATAAAATGTCTTGTATCAAGTATCAACACCCCTTATTTGTAAGGTGAATCCGCATGAAAATTATTTTCTCTTCTTGCATAGGGATATGGCCACATGCCTTGAGATCCAATCAATAAATGTCTCTTGTTTGACAAAGAGAGGTCAAATGTGAACCCTAGTTTGCCATGGATGATATCCTTGCCTGATGATCATAATTTCATAAAGAACCCTCTGGAATAGTACATGTTTGGGGAAATAAACCCCGACTATTGATAAATACCATAAGATGATGAATAAGACGAAAGTGTTGAGAATGGAGCTTTAAATGATGTGCAACCTTCAAACATTTATCTAGTAACTCTGAGTATAAGGGACAAACCCTAAGTCATAATCTTTGTATCCTCAATTGAAACCAACCTGCAAAAGATAGAGAAACCTTGATACATATGTGAAACCCTAATCCCATGACTTTGATCCAATACAAAACTTATTGATTAATGACACATGACGTGCAAAATGACCTAATGGAAGGACCATGCATACGAAGGGAATGAAATGCATAAGCCAGATGATCCTTGTTAAATGGTAGGACAAATTTAGAGTATGGCATGTACCTACAAGACACTCCGATGTCAAAGTAAGGTTCGGAGTAAGTGAAAGTACAGTGTAAAAGCATGGATGAATGAATACCTAACCTTCTCAAGTGAGAGGGTATTTATATCCCCCAGCACTGGGCCAAGGTCCCCATGTTGGGCTGACCAAGCAGGCCCAAAATGGGGATTGTCATGTTCTACGTGTGTAGTGGAGGCCAACACGTGGTCTCCGACCTGAATGGACTGCTCTGAACCATCAGGAGGACGTGGATGCGGTCTTTTCGGGTCCAAGAGGACTTTGTGATACTCGAAGGCGCTGGATGTATGCTCTACGAAGAGGGTGCTCGCGAGGACCTCCTGGTGTCGTTGGTCCTCCTCGGCAGTTATGGGGTGAGGATGTCCTCGGAGGACATATCCTGGTCGAGGAGAGGGGTGGAATCATTTCCCGACATGGTCAAGGGCAGATTCGCTCCTGCAGCATAGTTGGATTAGACATTGTATGATGTTTGGGCCAAGTGCAGGTCCAATCTAAAACAGGAGCCCCCCAAGTTATTTCTCTTGAGGAAAGGAGTTATGACTTAAGACCAACTTGACTTTATCGTGAACATAGTTTTGTCGGGATCCGCTATCACGTCGAGAGACGGGGTCGTCTTTATATGTGGCCACTCGAATAGAAATCGGAGTGTATTTACGGAGAAAATTCACATGCTCCTCGACTCGCGGGGAGACAAAAGATTTATATACTTTGTCTTCTGCATAAGTTTTATAAATAGCGCCCAAGGGCTCATTTGTAATGTTTTCAAGTTCTCGTTCTCTCCTTTCTCCTCATTATCCTCAGTTTTCTACCGCCCTTAGTTTTCTTCTCCAACCGTGAGCGCCGCCACAGCTTTCGTCGTAGAATCTCTACCAACTTTAATCAAGTAAGTGTTTTTCTAGGATTACTCTTGTTTATAGCTGGGTTTTATACTTTATGGAAATTTTTGAAGGGGTTTCCCCACAGAATTCATGGATTTTCTTGATGAATTTCACTATCTGGGGGTTTCACCTTGGGACGTTCATACTTCTCCTTGCGAGATCCATCCCTTTTGATGGATTATTTGTCCAGGAGTGGTAAAATCCCTGCAAAGCTCATGAGTTTGCTCGTGGAATTCATTTGCTCCTCGTAGTACTCGTGATGTTTCCCGTGGTATTCATCCGCTCCCCGTAGAACTCATGAGGTGGCCCGTGTGACTCATGGTTGACCTTGCAGTCTTCATGAATTCCTCGCGGTCTTCATGTGTCTGCCTGCTTCATGTTACGCGAGCGATCATCGACATTGTTTGCTCGTGGACCCCCATTTCACTTGGTTTGCTGTGTAAGGGTGGATTTGATTTAGCTTTCCAATTCACTGGTTTCCTATGCTTTGTAGGTGAAATGGTCGAACCGGTTGAGGCAACCGAGCAAGTCGACATAGAGGAGGCGAGTGGAGCCGGCAAGGGTCTCCATTTGGTCAAATCTATCATCGATCCATCATTGTCCCAGGTCGGGCTAGAGCCCTGGGAAATAGCCTCAGTCTACAGTAGTGATCGGAGGGCGGCGTACACAGTCGTCGAATATGACAGAGACCAAGAAGGTTTCAGGAAAAAATTTATGATTCTACGCCCGCCCGCTACGTCCAAAAAATGTTCATGTTTCTTGAAGGACCGCTTCCCCAGGTACAAAGTCATCTTTCGATATTTGGGACATCGTTTTCCCTTCAATGACTTTCAAACGAGTGTCTTTAATTAGTTGCCTCTGGCGCCTTCCCAATTGCACCCCAACGCGATCGCCTTCATACGGGCGTTTGATATCATTTGTTGGTATCTTAGAATTGGGGCAACGATTCCCCTATTTTTCAGGGTTTTTCATATTCAACGACAATCCAAGGGAGGAAATCATAGTCGGGTCTCTTTCATGCAATCCAAAAGATTGTTCAGGATGTACATGGATTATGTTCATCACTTCAAGGACAAATGGTATATCACACTGCCCGAGTCTCAAGAGGCCGTGGATGAGGTATTCGACCTAGCCACTATCGTTGAAAAGGATGGGGAAGTTTGACATGATGAGGACGAGAACAAAGAGATCGGGAGACTCTCAAAATTTCCCACCCTTTGGTGTTAGGCAAATTATGACCACGGGCCCAATCACTATCATACTTCTATTGGCAGCATGGGTGCCGGGGATGAGGGGGCCTTCAACATTCTCAACGAATTCGTCAATGGTTTATTCCCCTCCAGTTGGGTGACGAGGGAGGGAGATGACGTCCTTGGTGAAGATGGTGAACCTACGACCGAGGCCTGACCGATCAACACCAATGCACTTGTTGAATGTCGTACCTACGGGGATATCGCAGCTCTTTTGGGTCTCTACCTGCTGGACTCTACTACCTTTTGTTTTTAATCTATTTCGCGTATGTCCTTCTAGCAGTGCTAACTCGGGCATGTTGTTTTTGTTTTTGTAGGTAAGGTGGTAGAGCGTCGTGAATGTTTGTTCAACCTGACCCAGGATAAAAGAGTAACAAAAGGATAGTGAAGCCTAATCAGCCTACTCCCCTCGGGCCTAATCTCAAACAGACCAAGGATAGGTCTAGCGCTTTGTTAGGATCCCACGAAACCGGGAAGCCCGCGACTGTGTCGGGGAAGAAGAGGGGTCGCCCTGAAAACCGGCACATGGATTTGACTGATGATGGACTGTGTGCTCGGGCCTTTAACCTTCCTCCTTGCTTTGTTGAGAAGTATTTTTATGAAGGTTTTCCCCTGGTCGTGTCTAATGATGAGTTTGCTATTATCAGGAGGCTCAATGAAGAGGGTAGAAGAAAATACCAGGCATCGAGCATGGTTGGCCTGATGAACATTGCGGAGATGGTTGTGGTCCTTGCGGGTGAAGGGGCCCGTTCTACTGCCATGTTAAGTAAGCTGGAGTCAGAAAACACAGTTATCCTGGAGAAGGCGAAGAAGTTTAAGACCGCTCTTGGGCGGGGCGAGGAAAAGTTTCGGGTGAAGGTTGACGAGCTAACAAAGGAGAAGGAGAAAATGGCCAAAGATTTTTAGGAGAGGGACTCATTGCTGCTCGAGAAGAAAAACCTGGAGAAGGAGGTCATTGATTTGAAGGCTGCAATGCTGCCCGCAGAAGATGAGCCCGAGGGAATCGCCAGCTTAAAGACTCGCAAAACTGGTTCCTCGAATCCAGGTTCTTGAGTCAGACTGTGTGGATGCAGTGTCCGACAACTTTGAGACCGTGATGGCTCAGCTGGCTTTGTTGAATCTGGGGCTCAATGTAACACCTTTCTAAATCCAAGGAATTTTTGCAATTATTTAAATAAATAAATCATAGTAATATCACCAGCAAGAGTGTCATATCTTCACAAAAATATCTTAATAATGCATCTTGCTCCATAACGCGGGTTGCAAAACTATAAACCAAATAATATGCATTTAGCATCTTCAAATTATTGCAGCAGAAGTCATAAATCTCAAAACATCTATAATCCAGATACCTCATATAATTCATCAAGTTAAACATCATGATCCAATTAGGATAACAATACCATAACAAGGCAATTTAGGAAACATCAAAGTAAACAGAGACATATAGTTCTCAACAACCGATCCCAACCATGATGTTACATATTAAATCAAGATTCCCTTATTCTACGAAAACAAATAAAATGCATCCTAAATCTATCCTCTAAGCTCCTATGGAATACTCTTGATCATTTGCGCGTTACCCACGTGGAGGTAACATTCAAACAGAAAGGGTGAGTAAATCATAATCATTATATAAGGCATAAGGTATAGACAATAGAAAAATATGCACATAAGTAAGGTGCCATGCTTCATTACATCTTTATGTAATACCCACACCTTCGCCAATTCATCAATTAAGAACACATATATATCAGCACATACAAAGTATCATCATTCATCAATGAAATACATCGAATGCAATGTCACATATAATGTAATGCATCATCATAGACTCATGCATGTGGTACCAAAATGTCACTAATGACTCAGTCACCTTCAATCTCTAAAGACCCCCACCAATATGATTGATTCCCACTTGGAACCAGGGCACTTCACTGTTGCACCCAATCCACACTATAG